TTAATGCACACATGCCAGAGCCAAAGGATATACAAAAAAGTTTCTGCCTTACCACGAGGTTTCACTTCTCGAAAAGGATCCCAGGGGACTGCCTGGCGTACTTTACGCTCCCCTAATTAGAAGAACTTTGCAGCCCCCACCCTGTAAGCAGGTGTGGACGGTGGGTCCCCAAGGGCAAGAAGGGCTCTAGAAACTCTCTACAGATGGGCTGCTAGGACTTTTACCTTTTTACTTCACTTTTAGGAGTGAGTGGGTGGGAAGAAGTCATCCAAGCAGAGAGATTCGGGAATCAGTAAGCCCGGTTGCTCGGGAGTATTGCAGGTATCCCTCTGCAACTGTTGTCCACGTTTGCCCGCACTTAGGGTCCTCGTGGGACCACGTATGTCTCGTGTGGGATTTACTAGAAATGGCCTAAAAAATATACTTTGGTATTGTAGAGCACAGACCCAGAAGCTTGAGGCAAGAGTTGCGTGTTTGGGGATACAAACTCAAGTAGCACTTTTACCTACAGACTCACTTTTCCCACCATCTTTCTGGTTCTCTTGCGTCGCCTCTCTCTTCAGTCTGGCCTGGAGCTGTGCTAGGGGTAGATCAAGTGAGGGATGGAAGAAGCCGGTGGCCAGGAAAGTGTGAACATTTGGGAAAGGAATTTTTGCCCAAAGGTTTCGTACCCCTTGCCTCCACCTATACAACCCCTATGTTCATGTTGTTGGATTTTTTTTTTTTTATTGCTTTTTAGTTTCCTTGTGCATCGCTTTATCTTATTAGGGAGTCAGGGCTGTAACTAAGCAATTGTTTGCCTTCATCTAGTGCTGAAAGAAGGCCGCACTCCTGCCAAATCTGAGTTAATTCCTATCTTCCCTCCATCTCTCCCTCCCTCTGTCCCTCTCTCTGTTCTCCTCCCTCTCCTCCTCTCTCCCTCCTCTCTTCTCTATTTCTCCTTCTCACTCTCTATTCTTTAAGATGGTTCAGACTGGAGGGTCATAAGCAATGGGCGGTAATCGTTCTGGAGTGGCTGGTCTGGGTGCAACATAAAAACAAACGACACCTCCCCACCACTGAAGCAGGTTGTCAGTGGAATGGGCTACCATTTGAATAGAGGACTTGCTGTCATCAGTGTCCACACGTGAAAGGCACGCAGTCACCTCCCATAAATTTCGTAGAAGGGAAGTGGGACCATAAGCTCCACCATCCATCTCAGATTCTGGTTGTGGGTCTGAGGATCCGCTGAACTGCTTGAACGGTCGGTGCCGGGGATGATCATTAACGTGACATCGGAGTTGTGGATGATGGGGAGGCGTGAGGCTGGAGTCCAGGATGGTGGGTGGTCACTGGAGCGCACCTTCATTTCAGTGAGCATGGAAACAGGGTCCGGGCTTGCTCACGTATGGCATCAGTGAGGCTCGGACTGGGTTTGCACAACCTGAATTCCACATCCTTTTCTCGTGTCGGCCCTGTTCTGCCCATGTCTGGCTTAGAGTGTTTGCTACCCTGTTCTTGGTGGCCAGTGAGATCAGTTAGGTGGCTCTATGATAAATAAACTTGAATTTGAAGTTTGAATAAATTTGAATTTGAATAAACTTGAATTTGATTCTGCATAAACAAACAAACTTTCACTTTACCTTTGCTAGTTTGGATTGATTGACCTTTCAGTGCTTGAGTGTGTCGACATCCCCACCACAGTTTGGATTTGCCGGTAGCACTTGCTCTATAATTTTTTTTCTCTCTGTAATGTTTGAGGATATTGGGTCTGCCACCCATTTAAAATCTCTCCCCCTCTGAATTCAACCTCCTGTCATTACCTAGTGGCTTTCTTATTTCTGATGATGGTCTCTCTCTTAAAGTCTACACACAAGTTTATTAACTAAACTTTAATTTAGTTCAGTTTGCCTTCCTTTTATCCCCCCACCTCCTAACACTCCTACTTTTTTTTTTTTTTAATTCTTGGGACATTTTGCCTCTCCTATGAAAACTACATTCTACAGCACAATGATATCTGTCCTTGCCTCACTCAGTCAGCCTTACTACACGTCCCTTGAAAGCAGGGCCAGTTTTTCTGATTGTTGAGAGATTGTGGTTCTGTTTTGGTTCTTTCTCCCTCTCCAGATGATTATCACAATGCTCTCTCCAGTATCAGGAAGTAATATTATGGTGTGTTCCCCAAGACAAGGTGCTGCTCAGCAAGGCATCGGGGACCCCGAATTATCTGGTGTTGGAGGGTTTTGGTTTCAGAGAATTGGTAAGGGAGAAGCAGGGTTCCTGAGAGGCGAAACTAAAGATCTTACTGCAAATAGATCTTGGTTATGACTTGGAAAATGTCACTGTTGTGTTTGTAAATCACTGATACCAAAGGAAAACATAAATTCAAGTGCGTAAGAGCTTTGGAGTTTGTGAGGTCTTCCTTCTGATCCGAGAAACTACTTTATATTTTTAACAGGCAAATACTACTAGTTGAGCACCTACTTATATGCCAAGCAGTGTCCGTATAACACCTGTAGTATTGATTCCGTTTTAGGATTATGGAGACGAACATTCAGGAAATGAGGGAAACTGGCCCCGAGTCACATAAGTGATGAAATGTGACGTTGAGAAAGCAAGAAACCCTCAATTACAAATTTGAAAGAAATCCTGCCATTTACGACGCGATTTTTAAGTTCTAGGCTCTGGTTAAATTAGTTCACATTTCATTTAAAGCTCACGGCAACCCCATTAGGTAGGTATTACTGTTGCATTTTAGTCTAGGAATTCAAAGCTCACAAAGGTTAAGTAACTTGTTCAAGTCCTTAAGCTTTAAATGGCAAAACTAACACTGAGACCTGGATCTGACTTAAAAGCCCTTATGGTTAGGCGATGGTGTTCCCACCCTTAAATAGATCTCATATATCCACACATCTCAGCCTTACTCGGCTGCCGCGTAGTTTTCATCAGAACATGACTCCACTGGAAATAGATAATTTAAGTAAATAAAATGACTATTTTTCATCAGAATCTTGCTCCCCCGTCTCCTACCGTCACACATGTATGCATAGGCCTTTCTCCTTCCAGCTTATGGCAGAAACGAAAACCTGATAGTGTATTTCTTTGCATATGCTAAACGTTTTCTGTGCCAAAAGCAGCATAGGATGATGAGATTTGGAGTTTGGCGTCTTGATTCAAATCCTGGTTCTAAATCCTACTCCCTTTTGTAGTCTCAGAAAACTCAACCACTTTGAGCTTTGGTTCTCATGCTTAAGGGGCAGGCTCCACATAGCTCCCTCAGAGGGCTGTCCTGACAGGTGGAAAGACAGAGGGAAGATCCCCAGTACTTGGCGGATAGTGTCAGCGGAAGGAAATGCAGTGTAAGGCGGCCGTCTCTGCATGCAGCCTGGGAATCTCCCGGCGTCCTTGAGGCTCTTTCAGGGGGTCTGTGACCTCAAGATCGCTTTCATAATAATACTGAGACCTTAGTTCCCCTTTCCACAAGTTTAGAGCGGTCTCTCCACAGGCCACAGAACATGAGCCATCACATCAGACAGGCTGCGAAAGCAGTTACCAGAATCCAGTTGCCTTCCATTAAGCTAGAGAGAAGCTCTGCACTGGAACCACCTGGAAATCTTTACAAATTATTGATGCCCAGCTCTCACCACATTCTTATTTGATTGCCATGGGGTGGGGTGGTGCATTAAGGGGGGGGGTGTTTATAAAAGTTGCTCGGGTGATTTGAATGTGCAGTAAAGTTAAATGGGCATTTGATTCTCAATGGGTATAAAGTTTTTGTTATTCAAGATGAGTAAGTTCTAGAGATCTGTGCAACAGAGTACTTAGTTACTAATACAGAATTGTACACTTTAAAATATGTGAAGAGAATAGACCTCACATTAAGTGTTCTTGCCAAAAAACAAACAAAAAACCCTCAAAAAAGCACAGGAACATTTTTAGAGGTGATGGATATGCTGAGTACCTTGGGTATGGGGATAGCATCAGGGAATACGTATACATGAAACGTGTGCATTTTTTTGGTATATAAACTATACCTTTAAAAAATAAAAACAACGTTAAGTAACCTAAAAAAAAAAAAGGATTTGTAAAACTATGTAACAGCACCACTCTCCACACTAATTTTCTTTTTTCTTTTGGAAAAAATGTCATGTTAATAAAATGTTGTGTTAATAAAATGTTACTTGTATTATGTGTGATGGGTCTTGAATAATTGTTTTGAGTGTAAAGGGGTTCTGAGACCAAGAGTTTAAGGGACGTTGGTACGTGGGTGTAGGGATCAAAACCCTGGACTCTGGAGCCAGGCCGCCTGTTGCTGTCATGGCTCTGACATTGTGGGCTTTGTCACCAGGGGCACTTTACTTACCCTCTCTTGACTTCAGCTCCCTGGCCCATGAAATGAATATAACAGTAACATTCACCTCTTAGACTTTTTGTGAGGTTCAATGAGTAACACACCTAAAACAGCACAGTGCCCGGACTGCTCTAGTGGCTTTTACCGATATATACCTTCATTGTTAACTGTTCTGGTTATTATGAGTGGCTAACATTAATGATCTTGCAGGATCATTGTAAAATGTGTGGGTCGAGCCATTCTTCCAGACCACCTCATTTTTCCATACAACCATGGAGAAGGAGCCATTAGGTAGAGTCTCTTGGAGAGATCGGCGGGAGACGTCACGGACCTGCTCACCCCCACACCGTGGGCTTTGGCTCATTTCTCTATTTGTACGGTGGCGATGCTGTGTTGCTCAGCGGATGAACGAATAACAGGAGGCGACAACAAGGTGACCATGTGATTGAGGGAGAGGAGGACGTGGCAAGGATGTGTTTTATTAGCCAGAATGTTCCCAGAGCCCACCCTTTGAAGTCACTCCCCTTTTGCTTCAGACAGTTGCCAGCCTTAAGGTTCTATGTTCCTGCTGGCTTTTTCTCCCACACGGATCTCACCTCTTTAGGAGGTGAGGAGGAACTCACCTAAAGATTGTAACACATCTTTATTCCCACAGTACGCTTCAGCACCATTAGTCACAGTTGCAACAATAAAAGCATCTCTTCAGAATTGAGAAAGACAGAGAGATGAATAATTCAATAACGCTGAAGGCCATCAACATAATCAAAATTCCCTGGAACGGAAGAAAAAGAAGAAGAAGGAAAAAAAGGAGAATCATGGTATTAGCACAATAATGATTTTTCTGATGACAGTGAGGTAGAAATGCCCAGGTGGGAAAAGCTCTCCCACATGTCTCAAGTGCATCCCGTGCCTACGAAGCAAATTAGTGCAAGATCATAAGAATATACAGCCATTTTAACATAGCGCAGGACGGCGTATTATTTTCTTTGAGAAAGTCCTACAAAACAATACATTTCTGTATTATAGGCAGGAAAGCCTCCATTTCATAAATATATACCAATATAAAAAATGATATCAAAAAAGTCTGTTGAAGGAGAAAGATTAAGAAATAGGAAAAAAAAAAAAGAAGCAAAAATAGAAAAGGAAAGAAAGAAGAGAGGGGAAAACCCTACAGGGCCCAGAAAAAAGAGGAACATGTCGAAAAAGGCATACAGATCGAAGCATAGGCTAATAGTACCATCTTCCGTTCTTTTTATAACTGCCAGAGACCCTTAAAACGCTTTGTATCTTGGCACCAAAGAGCACGAACAGCATATACACTTTGTTGGGAGCCCAGAGGCTGGACACGCAGTGTTCTGCCAGTGAAAGTTTGTGAAGATCATAGGGTTCACATTCTGTTCTGCAACCGTGTCTACGTGGTGTGAGTATAGGTTGACAAACTGTTTATTTTAGAGTCACATGGTTTTTATTTTATTTTATTTATTAATGTTTATTTATATTAGAGAGAGAGTGTGTCTGTGCATGAGCGGGGCAGGAGCAGAGAGAGAGGGAGACACAGAATCCGAAGCAGGCTCCAGGCTCCGAGCTGTCAGCACAGAGCCCGACGCGGGGCTCGAATCCACGAGCCAGGAGATCATGACCTGAGCTGTACTCAGAGGCTTAACCGACTGAGCCACCCAGGCGCCCCTCTGTTTTGTTTCTTAGTAATATCCTGCTGTTTGAATAGTCTGTTTCTTTAGCCACTCTGTTGTTGATAGACATTTGAATTGTTTCTAGTTTTTACTATTAGAATAGATTTTCTGTGAATATTCTTTTTTTTTTTTAACGTTTATTTATTTTTGGGACAGAGAGAGACAGAGCATGAACAGGGGAGGGGCAGAGAGAGAGGGAAACACAAAATCGGAAGCAGGCTCCAGGCTCTGAGCCATCAGCCCAGAGCCCGACGCGGGGCTCGAACTCACGGACCGCGAGATCGTGACCTGAGCCGAAGTCGGACGCTTAACCGACTGAGCCACCCAGGCGCCCCATGAATATTCTTATATATATTGTGGAGACATAAAATAGGCCTGATTAATTTTCAGAAAAACTGCCAGGTAGTTTTCCAATGTGGTTGAGCCATTTTACATTCCCACCAAAAATGTACAAGAATTCCATTTGCTTCACATTCCTGCCAACATTTGGTTTTGCCAGTCCTTGTAATTAAAGTCATTCTGGTGTGCATACAAATGTTGTGATTTGAATTTGCATTCTTCTCATAACTGATAATGTTGAACAAATTTTTACGTGCTTACTGGCCATTGGCATGTCTTTCTTTGTGAAGAGCTTGTTCAAGTGCTACTCTTTTTTTTTTTTTTTTTTGTCTTTTTATTACTGATTTCCAGGAGTGCTTAATACTTTCTGGATATGGGTCTTCAGTCAGATAGATGTATTGAGGAGATTAACTCTCATTCTGTGCCTTGCCTTTTCACTTACTTTTTTTTTTTTTTAATTAAGTTATAATTGGTATATAAGCCTGTGTAAGTTTAAGGTATACAATATGTTGATTTGATACACTTGTATATTGCAGCATGGTCACCACCACATTGGTTAGCTAATTACTTCCATCATGTCACCTAATTATCAATTTGGGTTTTTTTTTGGTGGTGAGAATATTTAAGATCTAATCTCTTTGCAACACTAAAGTATATAATACAGTATTGTTAGTAATATTGACATTGCTGTGCATTAGACCTCCGGAGCTTATTCATCTTCTAGCTGGAAGTTTGTACTCTTTGACAAGCATCTGTCCGAATTCTCCACCCCGCAGCCTCTGGTAACCACCATTCCACTCTCTGTTCTCATGAAGTTGGCTTTGTAAGATTCCACATGTAAGAGATATCATACAGTACTTGTTTTCCTTCATCTAGTCGGATGGAGATTTCACTTAGCATAATGTCTTCAGAGTCCATTCGTATTGTTACAGACAGGTGGCTTTCCTTCTTTCTCATCACTGAATAATATCCCATTGTAAGTGAACCACATATGCATCTGTTCATGGACGTCTAGCTTGTTTCCATGTTTTGGCTATTGTAAATAATGCTGCAAAGAATATGAAGGTGGCTCGTATCTTTTTGAGTTAGTGTTTTCTTTTCCTTCTTATACATACTCAGAAGTGTAGTTGCTGGATTCTATAGTAGTTTTATTTTGAATTTTTTTTGAGGACCCTCCGTCTTGTTTTCCATGGTGGCTGCACCGATGTCCATTCCCACCGCCAGTGCACAAGGGATCCCTTTTCTCCACAGCCTCACTGACTCTTGTTATTTCTTGTCTTTTTGATAATAGCCTTCTAACAGATGTGAGGTGATATTTCATTGTGGTTTTGATTTGCATTTCCCTGATGACTCATGATATAGTGTGTCTTTTCATGTACTCGTTAGCCATCTGTATGTCTTCTTTAGAAAAATGTCTATTCAGATCCCCTGCCCACTTTTTAATTTTTTTTGCTGTTGTACAAGCTCTTTATATATTTTGTATATCAGCCCCTTATTAGATATGTGACTTGTAAATATTTTCTCCTATTCCATAGATTGCATTTGCGTTTTATTGATGGTTTCCTTTGCTTTGCAGAAGCTTTTTAGTTTGATGTAGCCCCTCTTGTTTATTTTGCTTTTGCTGCTTTTGCCTCAGGTATCAAATCCAAACCATCATTGCCGAGACTGATATCAGAGAGTTTACTACCTATGTTTTCTTCTAGGAGTTTTATGATTTTAGGTCTTACGTTCAGGTCTTTATTTTGAATGATTTTTCTATTCATTCAAAATAGATAGATTTTATCTATTTTGAATTGATTTTTATGTATGGTGTAAGATAGTGGTCTAGTTACATTTCTTTGTGTGTGGCCTTTTAATTTTCCTGATAACCATTTATTGGAGAGACTGTCCTTTCCCCATCATATATTCTTGGCTCCTTTGTTGTGAATGTTTTTAAATTTTTTTTAACATTTATTCATTCTTGAGAGAGAGAGAGAGAGAGAGAGAGAGAGAGAATGAGTGGGGGAGGGGCAGAGAGAGAGGGAGAGAGAGAGAGAGAGAGAGAGAGAAAGAGTGGGAGACACAGAATCCGAAGCAGGCTCCAGGCTCTGAGTTGTCAGCACAGAGCCTGACGCAGGACTTGAACCAATGAACTGTGAGATCGTGACCTGAGCCAAAGTCGAACACTTAACTGACTGAGCCACCCAGGCGCCCCTCCTTTGTTGTAAATTAATTGGTCATACATGCATACGTTTATTTATGACTCTGTATTCATTCCGTTGACCTGTGCGTCTGTTTGTATACCTTACTATTTTTGAGAACCATAGCTTTATAGTACATTTGAAATCAAGAAATGTGATGCCTTCAGCTTTGTTTTTCTTTCTCAAGATTGCTGCTCTGCTCTTTGGGTCTTTCGTGGTTCCATGCAAATTTTAGGATTATTTTTTATTTCTGAGAAAAATGCCATCGGTAGTTTGATGGGGATTGCATTGAATCTGCAGATTGCTCTGGGTAGTATACGCATTTTAACAATATTAACTCTTCCAATCTATGAACAGGGGATATCTTCCCATTTATTTGTGCCTTCTGTTTCTTTCATCAGTGTCTTCAAGTTCCTTCACCTCCTTGATTAAATTTATTCCTAGGTACTTTATCTTTTTTGATGCAATTGTAGATGTGATTTCTTAATTTCTTTCTCATAGATCTTTATTAGTATGTAGAAATGCAACTTATTTTTATATATTGGTATTTGGATCCTTCAATCTTACTGAATTCATTTTATTAGTTCTGATAGTTTTTTTGGTGGGGTCTTTAGGGTTTTCTGTGTATAATATGTCATCTGCAAGCAGAGACATTTTTACTTCTTCCTTTCTGATTTAGGTGCTTTCTCTTCTCTTCTCTTCCCTCCCCTCCCCTCCCCTCCCCTCCCCTCTTCTTTTTTTTTTTTTTTTTTCATTTTTTTCCCTTTCTTCCCCCAATTGCTCTGGCTAGGATTTCTTGTACTTTGTTGAATAGAAGTGTTAAGAGTAGGCATCCTTGTCTCGTTCCTGTGGGCTTGTCATATATGGCCTTTATTATGTTGAGATAGGTTTCTTTATCTCAGTGTGTTGAGAATTTAAATTATGTTTAAATTTTGCATGTTAAGTTTTGTCAAATTCTTTTTCTTCATCTATTGAGATGGTCATATGATTTTCATTGTTCATTATGTTATTGTGGTATATCACATTGACTGATTTGTGTATGTTGAACTTGGCATCCCTGGAATAAACACCACTTGATAATAGTGTATAAGACTTTTAATATACTATTGAATCCAGTTTGCTAATAACGTGTCGAGGATTTTTACATCTATATTCATCAGGGATATTGGCTTGCAATTTTCTTGTGGTGTACTTGTCTGGTTTTGGTGTGGGTATTCCTGGGCTTATAAAATGAATTTGGATGCTTCCACCTTTTAGAAGAGTTTAAGAAGGATTGGTATTAATTCTTCTTTAACTGTTTGGTAGAATTTTCCAGCGAAGCCATCTGGTCCTGGATTTTTCTCTTTTGGGAGGTTTTTGATTACTGATTCAATACTCTTCAGGGCTAATTTGCCAATGCCAATTGTCTTCAGTTTGTGTTGGTTTGATATCTCTATTTCAACTTTACTTTTAAAGAACATTTTCACTGGACATAGAATTCCACGCGTTATTTTATTTTATTTTTTTTTTATTTTTTATTTTTTGAATATTTTTTTTATTTATATATGAAATTTATTGTCAAA